TTGGTAGACTGAAGGTCCCTGTGTTCGATTATTGATAAGGTCTTGCGTGCTGACTTCTGAGCAGTCATATTCTATTACCTATTGCATTCATTTAAACAAATGTGTATCTTTCAGTCTATAAGAAGCTAAACAGAGTAATTGATGACTGAAATAAAATATTGGGAGTCATATTATGTATTTCACTTGATAAGTCACATATTGGATAATCTCAAGCTTATTTCTCTATCCAGCCAGAGCCTCATATGTTATTTTTCTTATTTTAATAAAAAAGCTATTAAAAAAATATCTTGTCAGTCGAAGCTAATCAAAGCATGTAAAATACACACCAGTTATTTGACAATTTGGTGATAGACTGCCTGTAATCTTCGAACAAATATCCTTGAAATTCACAATGACTAACCTTCAATTAGTTATAAATAAATAATTTAAATCGATCGGGGAAATAGATTCCAATAGTACAAATATTGATAAACAGATAACTGGAAAATTAAATGAAACGCCTCTAGATATATTCATCTTCACCCATTTTCCTTTGTTTTTATTGGCCTAATTGACGCAAAAACTGTTTCAACCAATCGCACATCAAATAAGATAAACCAATCAAAATAGGATTGACTTGAAATTTAAATGAAAATAATAGACATGACTATAAGAAGGTAGAGAGATGGGAGAGCATGATGTACTTGTCAAACTGGAAAGTCAGTAATCAAGATAAGTTAGAATTGAATTTGGATTGATGATATTTGATTAAGTCATCAAATATTTAGTAGTGATAAATACAGTATATTTACACCAAAAGGAATTTGTATAAAATAAACGACCTGAGCTTAACGACATATTTGGAATCAGACCAAATAACTGTGAATTTACAGACTGTTGGTTCAGTGATGTAATAATCTGACTACAAAAAGCGGTTATTAAATATAATTTAATTCCGTAGTATTTTCATCTTATCATCAAGTTTCCATTTATTCGTTTTATTGAGGAAAAGTATGTCACATTTTTATTTTCTTTATAGCGACCAACTAGCTATGTTTATCCGTATTTCTGTCGTACGAAAAAGTTGTCTTGTCTTCAGTAACCGCTTTCGTAAAAGATAGATATAGAGTTAATCATTCAGTAGAGCATCATAGTTATTGAAAGTGATTTTTATCATTTTAATTAATTCGTAACCGTATTAATAAGAGAAATGTAACAACTAGCAACTTAAGATTTTCAATCAAATTTTTAACTTGAATTGGTACCCCCTTAAATTAGAGGATTGGTACTTATTAGAATCAAACTGTGCTCGCAATCTATAGTCATCATCTATTAAATGAGAAGTGTAATATGATGAGTATTTAGATTGATAAACCTGACGAGTACAGTCTAATCACTTTGAAAAGTCGCTAACAACATACTCCTCAGTTATGACAAAACAGATATGTAACCTGATATCATAGCTTTATCAACATATGAATCAGAGCAGTAATCTTTAAGAGGAACTGGTTTGGACTCACATATTCCTGGAAATTTGATTTATGTTGAGTATATCGACTAAATCATACTTAAACAAATAACTAGTAAGATAAAAATTTGTTTAGACGAGGGGTCATTGAGGAGAGGACTTCTAAGTTCATGGGTTTGGTCCTAAATGTCATCAAATATTTGTACTAAACAATCTCAAAAAATAGAAACAGTTACCTAGATTTTCCTAACTATTTCGATAACTCTACAGCCCGAGTTATTTCGTGATGAAAATTACTTTCAAACTGAACAATATCTTAACATTAGCTCTTCAATAAAATACAAAACGTCAACATTAGTGACGAGATTCCTTTGCACTCCATTTTTTTGTTCCACGGAATACTACTTGTTATTAACAAGTAGTTTGAGTTATATATAGTCATTTCCAGGCTTTATGTCGCAGTGAGTACTCGAGCGTATCTATCCTATAGTTAAATAATACGAGATTATTAACTGTTATTCATTTCCTGAGGAAAAAAAGGCTTAATCTGTGTCTAATTGTACGTTCCATAATCTACAAAGATAATCATATAGCTAATAGTAAGTTATTTAAAATGCTGTTTGATTAGTTGAGTGTAATTGAGTCCTTCACGTTAAGAACAGTTATCAAATTCCAATTCTTAAAATTAGTTTTAATAACGGAGTGCTCCTCATAATACAGCCATTCGAAAGAATAGATTTGCAAAAACTTTAACCGTTTATTCATACCTGTGGTTATTAGATTATGCGAAATGCATTTGTAGTATAGAAAACAAGAGATATAATATACAATAATATTAGACGGAATCTTTTTTTAACGCTAGTTGTTTAGTCGCTTATATAGTTACGAAGAGAACCAATGGTATTTGTGTATTTAGTCATAATATCTCTCTAACGTCTACTGATAATTAGAATCACAGTAAGCCATGACTTCCACCATGATCAATATTATGTGCTACTGAAATGGTATATATGAGTATAGGTATGAGATATACCTGATTTTGCCCAACTTGTCATTGTTCACATTGAGACTCGAACCTTAGAACTTTATAACCACTTTATATTAAGCTGGAGTGCAATCGGAAATGGATCTAGGGAGCACTAACTACGACGTTTCAGGAGGTGATGGGTTACAACAAGCATAATCATAAGGAATGGATCTCTTTGGGAACCATGAACAAGGTTCAAGAAAGGAAGAACAAGAAGATAACAATTAACAACAGCCGAACAAGTGAAGAGAAATTCAAGCAACAAGCTGAATACACAGAAGCAGACAAGCAAGTAGAGAACAACATTAGAGTCATCAGGCAGAAATACGTGGAACAGCTAGCAAAAATAGAGGAAAAAGCTTCAAGAGAAGGAAATATGAGACAGTTATATGACATAACGAAGAAACTAGCAGGGAAATATAACAAACCAGATAGACTAGTCAAGGATAAAGGTGAGATAATCACTGAGATTCAAGAACAGAGTAACAGATGGGTAGAACACTTTGAAGAACTCTTGAATAGGTCAGATCTATTGAATCCACCGTACATCGAAGCAGCCCTATAGCTGTCACTCCGCCAACGATCGAAGAAATCAGGATGGTCATCGAACCAATCAATAGTTGGAAAGCAGTAGGACCTGGCAATATACCAGCTGAAGCTCTGAAGTCAGACATAGAAGTAACTGCAAGCATGCTTCACAGTTTATTCAGGAAGATTCGGGAGGAAGAACAAATGCCACCGATGGACTGGAAAGAAGGATACCTCATCAAGATTGCAAAGAAATGAGACCTGAGCAAATGTGAGAACTACAGAGGAATCACACTCCTGTCAGTAACAGGAAACGTTTTCGACAGTGTTGCCGAAGCGGACGAAGGGTTCAGCAGATCCCCAACACCCAGATCAACAGACCGGATTCCGTAAGGACCGGTAGTAAACAGACCAAATCGCCAAACTACGGATCATCGTTGAAAAACCATTTGAGTGGAACCCGTCACTAGACATCAACTTCCTTGACTATGCGAAAGCTTTTGAGTGTGGATAGAAGGACCTTATGGAATCTTCTTCGACACCATGGTGTACGTGAGAAAATCACCAACACCATCCGGGATTCGTACAACGGACTACACTGCAAAGTCGTGCATGGAATACAGCTGACATATGCATTCCAAGTGAAGACCAGTGTCAAACATGGTCGCTTACTTTCACCTTTTCTCTTTCTTCTGGTGGTTGATTGAATTATGAAGACCTTTGCATCTGAGGGAAAGCACGGAATACAATGGATAGCTTGAGTGCAACTAGACGATTTGGACTTCGCAGATGACCTAACTCTTTTATCCCATACTCACCAACAAATACAGGTGAAAACAGCCAGTATAGCAGTAGTAGGCCTCAACATACACAAGGGAAAAAGCAAGACCTTAAAATATAACACAGAGCACCAACACAATAACATTTTATGCTCTAGAAGTGGTGGAAACGTTTACGTGCTTAACTAGGATATATGAGTGATAAACGATGGGGATCTGATGCAGGTGTGAAAGTGTAGTGTCTGGTGCTGTGTCAACCCCACATAGGTTATTCTAGCTTCCGGAGAGACCAGTTTATTTATCCATCTTGAGTCACATTTTGAACTTGTAAATTATTCGTTTACTAACCTTGACTGTTTTTATATGAGCGTGTGTGAGTATTGCTTACACTATTCATCGTACGTTTAGAGCTTGTTTCTTTCTGGTTATAAAGAGAGTCAAGCTTGATCGAATGGAATTGGCACGGTTGCCTTCTCTGCTTCGTTTTTTCTGATTGTCTGTCTGGATCAATCAGTGCATGAAATATACGTATCCAATATTCATTTTCGTATTTATTCCGTTATTTTTTAAGGAGAATTAAGTCGATAATTATATACGACAGTAGCCGGGATGTATACTCCGTTAAATCAGTCGTCCAATCAAGTTCAACTCAAATCAATAGAGCACAAAAGAGACATGGATTGAAGAAGTAAGGGCAGCATTCTTACAATTAAAGAACATTTGAAACTCAAAACAGCTGTCAAACAACAACAAATTCAGAATCTTCAATACAAACATCAAGACAGTTTGGTTGTACAGAGCTGAGACTTGAAGGACTACTACAACCATCATCATCAAAAAGGTATAGGCATTTATAAGCAGTTATCTACGCAAGATACTCAATATCTATTGGCAAGTCACCATCAGCAACAATCTACTGTGGCAGAGAACAAATCAGCTTCTCGTTGAAGAGGAGATCAGGAAAAGATCCTGAAGGTGAAATAAGACATACCGAGGAAATCATCAAACTGTATCAAAAAACATGCTCCAACGTGGAATTCTCACATCAAAAGAGGCAAATAAAAAAACACATTGTGCCTGGAATTGGAAGCAGACATTACAAGGACGAATAGAACTTGGCAACAAATGGAAAGGAGAGCCTAGGACAGAGTAGATTGGAGATTACAAGTCGACAGCCTATGCTCCAAGAGGGGTAACAGGCTTAAGTAAGTGGGTGTCATAGGAAAGAAAACAGTTATTCACGTTCATTGTTCGAGATATGGCCAAGATGCGAGAAGTGAATTACGTTATACCAAAAACGAAAGCTTCTATTTGTTGCGTGTTCTAAATTATTTGACAAAAACAACAAATTAATATATCAGCATTTAGGAAAATAATTAGCTGATGTATTTACAAGGTATCATCAACAACAAGATATGTCACAATTAATAAGTTCTCTTCTCTCTTGCTATTAATGGTATGATTCTGGTCTGAATAAACTCGGTGATTCAATACGGTTCAGTAAAGAAGTTGAAGCCATTTCCATTTCTTCCAACTGATCAGTTAAACCTTCAGCTAACTTTTTAGGAGATAATAATACATTGTGACTGTTGATCTCATCATCACAATTCAAAAGGTCCGAAAGTAGAATAGCTGGAGGATACTCGCCACCATGACATAATAATTTTTCCATATAAAGCTAGAATGAAAAATGTAAAAAAGAACACAAGTTATGAATAGGATGGGATTGAACAAACAGATTTTATTGTTTGTAAAACATACTACTGGATTATATAAGTAGTTAAAACATACTTATAACACTAATCAAAAGTGAATTATAAACTGAGACCTATATGATCCTAAACAACACTATACCAAGCTGAATAGTTTTTTAACGTTTAATTAGATATATCTAGTGAATGTTGATAAATGAATCTAACAAAAACACTTGAAGTACCCCCAACTCGAAATGAGAAGTGTAAAATTTCACCGCAACTACTTATTTAGTTATGCGACATTAACCAGGAATTATTTTCAATTAACTATGTTATCTAGTAATACAAATGGATGTATAGCTATAAGTGACTGACCACTATATGTTCACCAATGTCATGTCTGTTTAGTCCTTTATAGTGACGAATTTTAGTGACCAATTTGTAATGTGAATCGTGAGCGAAGCATTGTGTTGAGATGTTAAGTGGTTGGAGGTAGTCAGTAGAAAATACTGGATCTGTTTCATGTCTTTTGGAATTAATCAGCAAGATATACTTGAAGTCTTGAGGGAATCGATGTTCTGAGTTATGATGCAGATCCAGTTTAACTAAAACCTTTACACATACCAGTAACGATGAAGATAACGATGTGGAACAATTCCCTTTTTATCAACATCTAAGACTCATCACAATTGATTGATCACTGGGTGGTGATCAATGTCATGCTTGTCTAGTCCTTATTAGTGCAGATCGAATGCTATCGATCATGTTGTAATGTGGCCACCAGTCTAGGTGACTCGACACTGTGGGCACTATATATTGAGATTTAGATGGTGTTGACTACCTCCAACCACCATCTAAATCTAAGACTCATATATAAAAATTATGTCCCAGTGGTTGAAATGTAACTATTACACTCAATTCAAATTAATATACAAACAAGGAAAAGGGAAAAGCCAATGTTTAGAATAATAACTATTTAAGTGTATTTTATACTGTAAACAAATTAACACTGTTTTAAAAAGTACACATCACAGTCATTACAACAAAAACTAATGGTATAAAATAGATGTATTATAGAATGTGCTACGACAACTAATCGTACACACATTTTATTAATTATAATGAGTTAAGACTCAGTGTAGAATCCATTCAACTATTTCAAACCAACCATCGAGTGACATGTGAAACGAAAGTCTATAAGAGATAGGGTATAGTACTAAAGAAAACAACATGGACAGTCCAGTTTAACAGTCTCGTATTGAAAGGTATACAGGAATCGATAACGCGTCGAAATGTCAATCAACAAGAATCATATTATAATAAATGCTATAAATTAAAAAGAGAGTACAACTTTGTCAAACAGATACAAATTAGTAGCGAAGATAAGTTGAGAACCATGTATTTATAGTGGACAAGATGTTCTGAATAAACAAACATTCAACAAAGAACACAGACAAAAAGGATTAAATAAATAAACAAACTAGGGGGGAGAACGAAATATTATGAGAATGAAGAAAATAGATTAAAATATCGCATAAACATGTAGTACATTAAAATAGAGAATTTTTATGAGTTACAGATTCCTAAATCATAGGTGGTAACATACATGAGTAGTATGATGTGACAGAAAAAAATAAAGAGCAGAAAAGAAACCACTTTAAACGAAGTCAACTTAAACAGGGTAGTATTAAGGCTTGTAAAGCTTTAATTTATTGCGATTTAAATGTGGTTCAGAAAGGTGCCTCAGTCACACTCCTCTATCTGAACACGTAATACCAAACGGATACTAATTGATACTAGTTGACAAATCAATATGAAAATAGAGTAATATCCTAACTTTTATACTTTGGAAAGGTTTAAAAAAAACTGACGACTGTATATAATTACAGTGATATAATATATACTTTTGACAAAAAATTGATAGGTGTATTTATAACTGATATAAAAATTTCATACAATTTTTCCCATCTATAAATTTGACTAAAGCAAGAACAATCAACGTAATAGAATAATACGATTTCTCATCAGCTAATTACACATTCCAAATGTAATAGCATTAACCATTCAAAATCACCTTACATGCTGTGAAGTTCGTTTGCCTTTTCTGTCCGTATTCTCTCCTCACTTAACTTGTTTTCTGTGTATTGATTTATACTACTTGCTAATATTCAGTAAACAGTTATTCCTAATAATTTCTAAGAGTGTGATGTGAAGAATAATTCCACTATGTTTAGAGTTCGTCAGTAGCTGGTAATAAAACCGCGAAATATGGTGAACTCATATTATTCTGCTACATACATTAGTCTTGGCTTGGTCAAATGATACGAGAATGATGTAGAAACTTGTCAAATTAAATAATCCACAGAAATTTACCTGTCCACTTGAGGAACACCAAGGATCTTTGGAAAAATAACGCCTCCAAACAAGATTAGCTCCAGCTTTTGCCATCAAATAAGCATAATAGCGTCCACCGTAATTGACTAAATGAGTAAAACGATGAGGCCATGCGCCTAGATGAGCTGGTGAACAACTAGACCAATCAGATAGTCCAACTTTACATTGAATATCTGATAATAATTTAGAGGATGCAGGCCATAACCCATCTGATTCGTGAGTTGATTTTGCATAAGGCAGTAAAGTATTTTCAATAGGACCTGAGTGTAAAACTTGATCCAGAATAGCATAGGTAGCCTGAAGAATTGTATAAATGAAAGAAATTCAACTGTTACTAAAAAGTGACTGACTTAGTCATAAAATGTTAATCTTTCTACGCTTCATTTAGTAAACAATTTGAAAAAAGGGGATCATAGAATTTCGAAAAGACCCTTAAACAAACAGTCTCATTGTTTAGATAACACACAAAAATTGTTTTTATATTTTGTGCTCACCCACTGATTACTATAAGTTTTTGTTTGTACGTATTACAACTTACAAACTCTGTTTTCTACTTAATTGTCATCCTCATTTCCACTTAAAACTAATCCACGTTTATCTACCCTTACTCCTTTCTTAATGTAATGGTATCTGGTTATATCTGCTATGTCCTGCAAAATTTATACTACAAGAGATTAGACATTACCTGCTCATCAAATTCTACTTAATTTACCGTTGGTCTCCATTTAAGGACCATTGGAAAGTTAAAAGCACTGAACACTTCGATATTAAACCCATCACCAACACACGTTCATAGCCAAAATCAGGATATTCATGTCTTGGGATGAGAGTGTTACCGCTAAACCGGTAAGTCAGAATTCAATGGTCAATATTTCCAACTATTATTCAATGTTACCGACGATATCAGTTTCACTCTCAACGTGGTTGAACTCCACCATTTCTCACTGGAACTTCAGGAATTAACTCGAACTTGAAATGTCCTGCAAGGATTGTATGACATAAAGTAGTTTTTTTCTGAAGATCATGAACTCCAATAACTACCGATTATTATTAGTCATTTCCCAATCTTCTTACTTGCAAACCCGTTTGGTTAAGCATACCAAAATTATCTGTATGTGTAAATCGGATGTTGTGAGTCATAAAATATTCAAATCAAGTATATCATACATAAATATATATTACAAGTGTATACCTGTTGACTAACTTCTAAACTTTGACCAAGTCCTAGACCAATGGATAATCGTTGTAATGCAATTATTTCATTAGGACCTGGTTTCTGACCCGTTTTCCAATGTCGAGCATATTCTGATACTACACGCGGATCTAATGCAAAGTGTTCAAATAAAGTTGATGGTAATTCAGCTAAATCAGTACTACACCTTTAATATAATAATAATAATAATAATAATAATAATAATAATAATAATAATAATGAATGTAGTATAATTTATTGATTAGTTAGCATATTACGATTATTATTTCAATAAGAAATAAGATTGTCAGGATGATAAAGTTCGCTTACTTTTTTTGATTAAATATTTATCTTAATGAAAATCTGATATTATTTTCATTTGTTCCCGAATCACTGACAAATTACTCACGAAATATGAAAATGATGTACCCGTTGAAAATCGAGGAATTATTTTATTTACATGCGTATGAGTTTTGTGGAAAACTTAGCACATAGTAATGTTTCATGCATTACATAATTAGTAAGGATTGTTGTTAACGGTTGTATATTTAAGTAGTAAAAAGGAAAGAACATGGATTTATTGAGCAATCTGAAAGTATCTCAGGTTTAACTACTGATTCATTTGTAAAATTTAACACAAACGTATTGTATTATAATCCATTGATGTGTTCTTATTGTAATCTGTGTTTAATGATTCATAGAATTAAATGCTGATTGGTCGAATTTTATAATCTATTCATTTTTAGATTCACTTGTATCGGTTGTTTGAATATTCCCATTAATGTTTAGGACTATATTTGACCAGTCTCTTTTTGGCATATGTGGATATATGCGAACGATACTGGACTCGAGTTCCGGAGTGAACATCAACTCTGGGATGCAGGCAAATACAGTTGAAGTGTCCCAAATGGAAAGAAACACGCGTCTTGAATTTCGCTACTAGCCACCGTTTATCTCTACTTATATTCTTTTTTAGTTTTATCATGTATAAGCAGGCTTACACAGAGTTGTTTCTATGGAATACTAATACGAAAACCTTTGAAAATAAGCAACTGTTATTTACACGTCAACGTGTTAACAACGGTAATAAATTACTACCTTCCAAATTCTATGAATTCAAACAAGATAAAGCAATAGAATTAAATGCTTTCGTTTAACACGGTTCAATCAATTACACTAAACAATCATTAGATTTAGTGATTCTAAGAATCTAACCAAACCAGATAAGTAGTCAGTATTTTCCCTAACGATTTATTAGTTTAAATATTTTCGGAATTTCCATATCAATACGATAGTATCGCATTGTCAAGCTAAGAGTATCTTAGTTATGTGAACTAATAGATCAAATCAAAATTTTATTAATCTATCTAATAAGAATCACTACTAAACACTATCACGACAGATAATAATTCTATCAAATAAGAAAAGATATTATTAATCTATAGAACTGACTAAAATATCTAAGGTTTAATCGTCAAATTTAAACAATTAAATAGTGTAACACTTGATTAGTACAATTATTGGATACCATGTAGTTATATGTAGAATATTATTAATAGTAAAGTTGAAATTGTACAGTAGTTTTGATGTATAATTATTGAATATGAAACATTTCTGAAGTTGACTAATAATACGATTAAACTATAGTATAAAATTGCTAATTGAATTCATATCTAATTGTAACAGTAGTAACATAGTTTATCTTCTCGTTTACTTATTGAATGTTTGTCTCATAATGAATTTATTTACATATTGTTTTAAAATTCTGAATAAAATACAAAATACACATGTCAGTTAGTTATATACAACGTAGAACTTGACACATTTGTGCATTAGTTCAAATTGCCACATGATATTAACACAATGAGTTATTTTAAAATAAAATTCCTAGAATGGTAGAATTAATAATAGTAACAATAATAATGGGAAAAGAAATACAAAGACATTTTGGCATTCAGGTTATAAGTGAAGATAAAGAATGAATGCGCCTGCATCACTGCGAATAATTTTGAGTCATTTCATTCAAAGTCTCTAACCACTAGCTATAATAATCACCCAAACTTCAACCACAGTGTCTACATCTATTAAAATAGCTCAGTTCAATTACCATTGACTTTATGGACTGGTGTCATGTTTTGGTTTAGCTACTTATTAGTATTCTATCAGTCTACTCCTATACCAGACAACATTCCCCGTCGAGGTAGGTGGTAGTTAGGTATATATAACACATGTCCCGACCACCTCAATTGATTTTTCAATGTTCATTTAAGTGACAGCATAACCCATTAACAATATGGATAGATATAGATAATCTGTAAAGAGGATATATATATACTTACCGTGTCCAGTAACATGTTGATATCGTGTACGTGCAAGCATAGAATGTAATGCATGTCCCCACTCATGAAATAAATTTTCAACTTGTCCTATACTAAGAAGTGGTGGTTTAGAATTTGATTCAGGCGGAGATACCGTCAATTGAAGTGTTATAATTGGAGATTGATATGATCGATTACTAGAACCATTATCTAGGCATCGACCACCACGTATAGTGTAATGACAATCCTGATAAATGAAGAAACAAAAAGAGAACGTGTAAGATACAATCAGGATAGGACTGTTAATATTAATATTCTAAATATGTAACAAAAGTGAATGAAAGTACGCTGTCGGTTAAATAGTTGCTATCACAAAAAGATTACATCAGTTCTTTTCTACTTTACTTTTGAACCAGATAACTGTGAACGGAGGACAGCAAAGATTTAGGTGCTTGATTTAAAATCAAATTAAAACGATTCTATCGAATGGCGAAACCGTTTGACGGGAGCATCATGGATCCTACTGGAATAATATGTCACGATTATGTGAGGCGTTCTAATCCTCTCACATTTACCTTTCACAAAATAAAAACTCAGTCTTAGACGGCTAATAAAATTCCCACTTTTGGAACCATAAAAGCAGTGATTTTGAATTTTTCTGTATCAAAACTATAATAGCCGTCATCAATTGTATCTCCTATATCTACCAAAAATAGTCAGACTGCCACGATTTTAAGCAAAGGTTTTTTGGTGCAAAATTCCCGATAGAATTAGAATTCATGAGGCAATCAACAGCTTGTAAAAGTGAAACTCTCGTTGGATAATAAAAGACAGCTATAGAGGTTCAAATTATTTGTATATGAAGTATATGTGCAGAATGAAAGATCAGCCACAGAGACCGACAACTTCTCAAGTAACACTAAGGTTGGTTTCATATCTAGTGGTAAAGACAACCTATAGGTTGTAGACGTGAATGTATTTGCTCGGTTAGCAGGCTTTTACAAAGTAACAAAATGATCACGTTAGGAATCCCAGATCCCCAGAAATCACTTGGTAAACGTCTCATTTTTGTAATTTTATTTTTGGAAATTCGGATTTCTCATCTTCGTGCCAAAAGCACCCACTTTTACCTTTAATTTATATTTCCCACTTAGGAGGACCTTAAATGTCATTAGTTCGTTTTCTCTTTTAGCACGCTATTTTGTGATGTTTTCCAAGGACATTTTTGTACTATATATATACGCATGAGTTGTGTGCTTGTTTGTTCGTGCCTCTGACTGCTTGTGGAATATATGTTTCCTTCGGCTGAATCTGGTCTTCTCCCTCCAGTTAGCAGGGCTGGGGCACAGTGAAATAGTTTAGCTTGACCTGTTGTTGTGTTGCTGACTTTCGTTCCGTCAGCCGGTTTTAAGTGATATCGTAATCTTTTCAAACGTAGAAGATCAGTAAGTCATAATCACAGGTTTCTGGGTAATGCTTTTGAGAGACCCTCTTCTTTGTTGTTTGATGGATGAATAAAATGATACTGTCCTCTCTTTATTGATTTCCACAGCTACATTTTTGCTGTCATCAGTTTTGTATACGTAACTTATGGAGGAAATAACTCCACAGGATGTTTTCGACGTGTGCCAACGCTTGTTTGAACCATTAAAACATTCAAGTCAGTCTAATTCATATATATTATTGACATAATGGTAGAATAAAAATATTTTCTGTACCCCGCGATATACTGCTACTATACGATGATAGGGCCAGTGACCGAGGTTACATTACCACTAAACTAATTACACGAAACATACGCTAAGCACAGAATTGATCACGTAATACTAGACACACGATCCAAGTTCATGAGTAAAGAACCCGAGTATAGACTAGACAAGACTCTATTTAACACAATTTTGGACAATCTACATTCAGTGAGTCCAGAGTAGAATTCAATAATAGGAAAACCACATAATTGATAGCCAGTAAGCAGTGTCTGTCTGTCCACACTCAGTAGCTAAACACGTCTTAATTCTACTAGCCACACATCAATTATGAATCGTTTGTTATTCCTTGAATTGTTCCCCATAGGTAATGATCAAAACATGGAGCAAACCATGGTAGTAAATCGAAGTCAGAACTGAAATAAACACGATTACGAATGATATAAGAGTAAAAGGTTTTAATACTTGATAAGAAACATTTTAAAATGAAATAAAATTACTTGGGCAGGTTTACCAGGACGATCAAGCAGATCACAATAGACTATTCCAATTGGTTCTGTTGAATTATTCTTATTCGAATAGACATGAACTTTGATAACAGATGGATGCCATACTTCTCCAGGTTGTACCGGTACAACTTCTAGACGTAATCCAAATAGACAATTGGCCAATTGACTTACACCTTCCATACATGCACCCAATGAAAAATAATCTGTCAAATGCTATAAAACAAAAAAAAGTAGAGGAAATATGAATCAATAACTTACTTATGTATGTGTTGCAATAAACGACACAGACAGATACAAGGGATTATGATAAAATAAAAGGTTATAACCTCTCAACAAAAAAGAGAAAAAGTGTGAGTTAATAAACTTTAAGTTCCTATTCGATTTTCAGATCCAAAATAGTTATTAGCTGTTGTAGCATGGGTGTTATACGATTACGCAACGGATGTCATAAAATATAGGAATAACACTAAGGCATATGTGGAATGAGAATTTATCCATGTAGCTGAGATTCATATTATCAAATCAATGGATTTCAAAGGACAGAACCATCAACCAACTGGTTGACAATTTGAATAAATATTAGGAAATTAAAGTTACTATTTATATACAAAACAATATTTGACCAAAATGACATGACGATTAGTCAGTCAGTCGTAAAGTAAAACCTGGTACACATGTACGCCGACTCGAAATGAAATTGTTAGGGCAAACCTCAGAGTACTAGAGGTAGCAACAGTATTATTGGTAGTAGGAAAGATCAGGCATCAAAGATAAGATTTAAGAAAATATAAACCAGTGAAATAAAATTTTTTGAGGAATTCAGAAGCTTATGATCTGGGGGAAGACGAAGAATGAATTTTTGTTCTTATAGACTGTAATGATCAGCGTCCGAGACTAGTCAGATGGATTACATCCAGTTTCCAGATTTCAGCTAGGATTTTAGTCAATCTAACTGCTAAAACTGGACTACCATCCTTAAAAATCTCAGTGCTTAGTTCATCAGACCGTGCTGCTCTCTCTCGCTTTGGATTACTTATAGCCTTTTCAACCTCACTAAGAGTCTAAGGACTTATATCAGTTTGCCATTCAGGTTGCTTGGAGAAAGTGGATAATTGAAGTGTGGCTGACTATCAGCTACTCGGTTCTCTAAAGTGTTCTGGCCATCAGCCCCACCACCTGGATTGATGGTGAATGACAGTCCGGTCCTTTTCCGAGATATTCTCACTAACAAAAGGATTTGTAATACCCGTTTCCTTGATAAGTCTGAACAGTTGTCTACTGTTACATATTGCAGCTGCCTTTTCCATCTCTTTTGCTTTCGCTACCCATCACTGCTCAGGATCATTGAGTAGACTTTTTTCAGTCCATGTTTAAGCTGCCTTCGCTCCTCCTTGTGCTTTGAATCAGACGGGATGGGATCTCAAGCATCTACCAGTTCAGTAGGCGCCACTGAAATCCAATGGTTTTTCCTAACGTTTTGATTGAAGTTACTAGTACGTATCACTGCTGTTTCCACAGCTTTTCGGATATCATATCAAGATACCTCAGGGTAAATATAACTTTTATGGTTGACTAACTGCTCCTCTTGTTCTTCCTGAAATACATTCTTATTTTTTTCATCATTAAGTTGAACTCTAAAGAGTTTTCTGGTTGTGACTTTTTTAAGTATAGTAACACATAGAAAAATACGTGACTTAAACTAGAGAATGATGCGAGTCTAAACATGTGCTCCAGAATGTGCGACATTTTTCACTTGAGCTCCTCCAACGATGGCTAATGACAATGTGATCTATTTGAGTCCGTCGATGAAGCAACCGTGGAGGTCGTCACGTCATACGATGTTTCTTCTTATGATTAAAGTTGGTGTTTGCCAGAAATAGACGGTTATCTGAGCATAGTGGCAACAGACAGTCACCATTTTCAGTTCGTTGTACCGCAACACCGTAAGATCTGCCTAAGTCCCTTTCGGTTTGGTTTAGTTTACCAACTTAGGGATCAAAACCACCTGTCACTATTACTACATAAGAGTTCAGCTTTTTGAAGGAGGCTGAGTAGCTTCCCATCAAATTCATATGTAACTTCATCCGAGCTGCAGTCAGTGGGAGCGCAGACAAAGAAAACGAAGACACAAAGGCAGTTGTCTTTCTGAGTTCTTACTGTACTGTTTAGCTGGACAATGCATACGTGATTTTCTATTGGAATCCGGTCAAGCACAACCTGTTGTGCTTTTGAACTTAACATCATACCTACACTAGTGAGACGAAGGGAATTAGCAATGGGATCTCCAAATACACGAACGGTAGATAGTGCCAGTTCTTTATATTGACAAGGTGAGGTCAAATGGATGGCTGTATTTGGATCTTGTATGCACGTTTCGGAGGCGCAGCAAACGTCGACGGCGCGAGATTCTGGTGCACTATCTAATGAAGCCTGTTTTCCTGCCTGACACATGGTTCAAATATTGAGAACTCCAACATTTAGGTTAAAATGTAGTTTTATTAGACTGCAAATAACATTTCGTGAACTCGAATCATTAGCATTGGTACCACTTGGTGATAAAGATATACGAGAAGGGTTACTCGTGGTGATAGAATTATTAAGCGGTGAAGGAGGGATTTGATCGTCAACGAGATGATCTTGAGTGTTGTTACAGATACGAGGTGGGTTAGAACTTCCCAACTGCTCACGACATAGAAGGATATTTCTTCTTGAGAGACAAGAAAAAGAAACTGAATCAGTGGTGGTATTAGAGACCTGGGAGCGTGGCCGCAGAGCCCATGGGACAACTGCTTGACGTCCGTCGCGCATGGCCTTTCATGAGAAGTTTTTGATGAGTTCGCTCCGTATTTTAAAAGGCCTTACCATCAAAGGCGGAAATCTGTGGGGTAAAATGGAGTGTGAAATTTTTAGAGTCAACCTTTTCCAATCCCTTTCTTCCGTTGTAAGAAGGCAGAAACGCTGCAGATGCCGGCTGTTCAAGAGAAATACCTTGCTGCTATCACACTCATCTACAGTCAGCAGTACGACCTAGTCCTCAGACCATAAGTTGCTGATGTTAGTCTTACCGCCCTCCAACCGATCTGTCCGGTAAGGTAGTACCTAAAAGGACATGTGTTCAAGCTAATATGGCTCAGTTGAGTCAACACGACAGGCAAGGCCGATCATCACGTCAAGGTAACAGCTACGGTCGGGCATGATCGTAAGCTACCTGTTAGCTGACAAAGGCTAGTTAAGGACAAAAGGGTTGCAAAATGACCGATAATTACACATTCCACTTCTTCGCAGGTTTTCGAAGCAGAATTAAGTCAAGAAGGCTGGGACCTGGGAAATGTCGATTGAAAGACAAGTACTCTCACCCCTAAGTCACTACTTTAAATGTAAAATTAAAGCTAAGAAGTAGAGCAGTGTTTTAGCAGTTAAGGCTTTTGACTTGTAGCTAATACTTCGTAGAATTGGACTCCCACCTACTCCTGTCCAGGCAAGCGGATAGTACCGCTACCCCTCACACTTAGTGTGATTCAAAGTCAAGTAAATGGACCTGAAACCGGTTGATTAATTAACAATGGCAAGTTTTCCTAAGAAAGATTAACTGTAATTGAAATGTGCACAGAAAATATATTTATTTGTTGTAGATGTACGATTAAATTAGGAATAATACGAATTCATACCAAACAATACATTTTGGTTGAAATATTAATAATGATTAATATTGCTAATAAAAGTTATTTTGAATTATAACTTACACGACTACATAATGCCTGGCGTTTAACACCAAGTGCAAAGGGTAAATCACTAGGCCAAATTAAATTTGCATTACAATCTGTTTGCAAGTTGTGCATCTTCGTTTTTCGATAAGAGTTTTTTATGATTGGTAATAACTGTTTTCTTGCTACTTCAGTTGAAATAGGACGAAGTTTCTTACAAACATGCTGAAGGAATTCGTCTACATTCTCAGGTGTTTCAGCTAAACTATAGAGCGTGGCACGTTTAGCATAATTTTGAAAGCCAGCTGCTCTGAAAAGAAATAACAGTAAAAAGAAGGGACATAAGTTAATGATTTTATGAATAATCGTAATGCTACAGAAATTTGATATTCTCGAGATGATTACCATTGAGAATGACTATAACAGAAGAGATCTTGTATTCTAAACTGATCGATAACTAAGCAATGGTCAAAATCATCCTAGTTTAGTCCTTTAGTGATATAAAGGATGACTTAAGATAGTTTCCTCACTTTCTGCGTTATACTAAACGAATAAAATGATAAAATAATGAGGTTGGTCTGGGTATTCAAATTTATAATACCGTTAGATTGGATACTTGAAAGATTCGCTACACACAGACCAGAGATTGCGTTATATCAGACACATGATTCACGACCAAAACAGAGGACCAAAGTAAATGCTAGACAATACTTTATTCCACACAATTACAAGCAATCACTCTCAGTGAGTTCGGAGTAGTAATCAATAAGATGAACGGAAGTCATATATTTGATAGTAAGTTGAGTGCGCATTTGTCCACACTTAGATTTACTTTCACTACCACACATCATTCAGTTGGTCAGTCGCCCGACGATCTTAGGTATGGTTAGCTGACGAGTGTCAGATAACACAAAACCTAGGTCCGGGGTTTCTTGCTGACTACCTACAACCACATGACATCTCAACACAATGAACGTAATATAGAGTCACACTCATGCCCACATTACAATTTGATCGACAAAATTGGGTCAGCACTAATGGATTAGAGATCAACGTGAAGTTGGTCATTAGTGTCATTAGTGATAGATCAATTTTAAATATCTCGATTTTACAGATCAGTTGAGGCCTGTATAGCTTACTGGTAGCTTTACAGATTATGAAACTGAATGAGTCAGTCTTGAATCCACGTGAAAGTATCAGTCCCCTGAAAATCACAAAGACGCCTCGCTTGCGAGTGAAAACTAGCGCGAAACCTAGGTAAAGGGTTTCCTGCAGACTACCTTCAACTACCTAACATTTTGACGTAATTCGTTTGTGATTAAATAGTGGAACAATCGAACTGGAAGTTTAAGCAGTTAGTATTTTTCAAAGACAAGTCTAAATGTGTAGATGATCAGTACTTACAAGTGAAATTAGACAGAAAAATACAAAATGGATATGTAAAGGCAATATTTTTACACTTATTTTGTTCATTATTTTTAAGGCTGATGCTGTATAACAACTGAATGGATTGGAGTTTTTCTAAAAATAGAATTATTTCAGTTAGGTCGGTGGTCAATACAAAGTACCGTTTTTCTCAACGATAGACAGCGAAGAACGTTTACATCTGGCAGATGTGATATTCAAATATCTTATTAAAGAAAACGTTGTTAGTGATAGCTTTTGTCTAATTTCTCTAACTAGTATTTCAAAAACACATTTCATAAAGTAGATGATTAAAGCCAACTTTTGTAATAAGCCAGTTGTTTTATTACATAACCGAAGTTATGAAACTTAAGTACCTCAATTTAATTTTCAAAGAGAAGAGTCATCATCTGTGGGGAATGCACCGTTAAAAATGCTACGTAACAACGATTTACTGTGGATAACAAACCCTGTTTAAAACAATAAGATTTCAAACCCGATAGAAATACAATCGACATTAGCAAGAAATTTTTTACACAATAATTATAATTATAATATTGTCACATAATTAGAAAGTGTATATTTCTACTTTTCCCGGATACAGGGATTTCAACAGAGGACAGGAAGGTTAATACATTCAAGACATTGTTCTCTATAGACCAAATCTAGATTGATCTAAATAATAAAATTGATATTAACCCAGTTATAGTAAATTTGCTCACAATTACCAGTATAGGGTTGTGGAGATTGTTTACAATTCTTCATCCCTTCTCTCATTCCGTTAAAATCCGTGACATTTTGAAGAGATGGAAATTTTTGAATTTGCAAATACTATATCACTTTAATAAAAAACTTACTGTGCCATTTCATGTCGTGCACTCAAAAGTTGTTCTAGACACTTTTCTTGGCCTTGAATGGGTGCATAATATGCACAATAGGTGGATAGACGGATAGAAGGATCTGGATGATCACTAAGTGGATGAACAAGTTCAATTGAATTTGAATAACTATTTGCTGAATACTTCGATGGATAAGTTACTGTACTATGGCAACCCTAGGTAACGTGCAATAATGTAATAAGAAAAAGAGACAAGTAGAATTTAAATACAAAAGAAATATTTATTATATATACAAAGAAATTGTTATAACGTGAAAATGATGCTGCTGATTAAGGGTAGGGAATTATTGATCGGACCAAAGACGCACAAACACGTAGAACGACCTAGGGTTCTGATTGGTCTCGCTTCCCTATCTAACCCAGCCAGTTGAGTCCAGAACACAAGTGACAGCTTCGGAGATATGAATCATTGTATTTCAAACATACTTTGTTTATATACCAGTCAAGCAGACCACAACGTCCCATAAAATAGAAAATAACATTGTACAATAATGGCCAGTAGGAAAATAACACGTTAAACAAATATTCACCAATAAGATGATACCATTTCATGTCCAAGGATAACATTAGGCTTAACAGGATAATTCTTGGGATATTTTCCTGAATATCCCAACACCTCCCTTTTTTGGAGATCCGGAGTTGATGTCCGGATTTTAAATTTTTTTCCGCGTCCATCCTCCCCCGCGAAATAATGTTGGGTCTTCATAAACCCAAATTACAATTAATTTGATTGTATTTAAAACATATTGCACAGGGAATCCAGTAAAATCGATCAGATATTGAGGATAAACGCCATCCAATTCGAAGTCATCAGGGTTTAAATCTTTAGTAAGTAGTGGATCATTATGATAATCGGCGTCCAACAAAACTGTGCCAGGTTCTTGGTTATTATTTGATGCGTGGAACACATTTTCTGGCAAAACAATGAGATCTTCTCGTGAGCTGGATATGTTACTGTCTGCACATGCTGTTTCGGGGATGATAGAGTTTGACTCCATTACCGGGCATGTTTCTGGAATAGAAAGTACTGGACCACTGGGCGCATCATGGATGACTGTTTCGTTTGAAGTACAGTTCATCGAGGATTCATGGAGGCTGCTGTCATTTTCCAGCTCACTGTGTATTTCAGATATCAATCCATCCACTTCCGTCGCGTCTTCATAGCATGAGTGATTTAGCAGCTGCGTGCGGAATTTGACTAATAAGTCCAAATGTCGTTCAAAGAGCAGTTGTAATCGATCGGAAGGGAGAGTCATTTTTTTGAATCAGCACCTGTGATGAAAATTACCGTATGACTAATGTCCAATGTGGTTCAAGGACACTGAGGACAATCTGGATACTGATTGGTCGAATAATCAAACTGGATTTCGTCCAATTACAGAATGACTTTGGATTGTATCTTTTCTTCACCCCGTCGCCAATTGTTATAACGTGAAAATGATGCTGCTGATTAAGGGTAGGGAATTATTGATCGGACCAAAGACGCACAAACACGTAGAACGACCTAGGGTTCTGATTGGTCTCGCTTCCCTATCTAACCCAGCCAGTTGAGTCCAGAACACAAGTGACAGCTTCGGAGATATGAATCATTGTATTTCAAACATACTTTGTTTATATACCAGTCAAGCAGACCACAACGTCCCATAAAATAGAAAATAACATTGTACAATAATGGCCAGTAGGAAAATAACACGTTAAACAAATATTCACCAATAAGATGATACCATTTCATGTCCAAGGATAACATTAGGCTTAACAGGATAATTCTTGGGATATTTTCCTGAATATCCCAACACCTCCCTTTTTTGGAGATCCGGAGTTGATGTCCGGATTTTAAATTTTTTTCCGCGTCCATCCTCCCCCGCGAAATAATGTTGGGTCTTCATAAACCCAAATTACAATTAATTTGATTGTATTTAAAACATATTGCACAGGGAATCCAGTAAAATCGATCAGATATTGAGGATAAACGCCATCCAATTCGAAGTCATCAGGGTTTAAATCTTTAGTAAGTAGTGGATCATTATGATAATCGGCGTCCAACAAAACTGTGCCAGGTTCTTGGTTATTATTTGATGCGTGGAACACATTTTCTGGCAAAACAATGAGATCTTCTCGTGAGCTGGATATGTTACTGTCTGCACATGCTGTTTCGGGGATGATAGAGTTTGACTCCATTACCGGGCATGTTTCTGGAATAGAAAGTACTGGACCACTGGGCGCATCATGGATGACTGTTTCGTTTGAAGTACAGTTCATCGAGGATTCATGGAGGCTGCTGTCATTTTCCAGCTCACTGTGTATTTCAGATATCAATCCATCCACTTCCGTCGCGTCTTCATAGCATGAGTGATTTAGCAGCTGCGTGCGGAATTTGACTAATAAGTCCAAATGTCGTTCAAAGAGCAGTTGTAATCGATCGGAAGGGAGAGTCATTTTTTTGAATCATCACCTGTGATGAAAATTACCGTATGACTAATGTCCAATGTGGTTCAAGGACACTGAGGACAATCTGGATACTGATTGGTCGAATAATCAAACTGGATTTCGTCCAATTACAGAATGACTTTGGATTGTATCTTTTCTTCACCCCGTCGCCAATTGTTATAACGTGAAAATGATGCTGCTGATTAAGGGTAGGGAATTATTGATCGGACCAAAGACGCACAAACACGTAGAACGACCTAGGGTTCTGATTGGTCTCGCTTCCCTATCTAACCCAGCCAGTTGAGTCCAGAACACAAGTGACAGCTTCGGAGATATGAATCATTGTATTTCAAACATACTTTGTTTATATACCAGTCAAGCAGACCACAACGTCCCATAAAATAGAAAATAACATTGTACAATAATGGCCAGTAGGAAAATAACACGTTAAACAAATATTCACCAATAAGATGATACCATTTCATGTCCAAGGATAACATTAGGCTTAACAGGATAATTCTTGGGATATTTTCCTGAATATCCCAACACCTCCCTTTTTTGGAGATCCGGAGTTGATGTCCGGATTTTAAATTTTTTTCCGCGTCCATCCTCCCCCGCGAAATAATGTTGGGTCTTCATAAACCCAAATTACAATTAATTTGATTGTATTTAAAACATATTGCACAGGGAATCCAGTAAAATCGATCAGATATTGAGGATAAACGCCATCCAATTCGAAGTCATCAGGGTTTAAATCTTTAGTAAGTAGTGGATCATTATGATAATCGGCGTCCAACAAAACTGTGCCAGGTTCTTGGTTATTATTTGATGCGTGGAACACATTTTCTGGCAAAACAATGAGATCTTCTCGTGAGCTGGATATGTTACTGTCTGCACATGCTGTTTCGGGGATGATAGAGTTTGACTCCATTACCGGGCATGTTTCTGGAATAGAAAGTACTGGACCACTGGGCGCATCATGGATGACTGTTTCGTTTGAAGTACAGTTCATCGAGGATTCATGGAGGCTGCTGTCATTTTCCAGCTCACTGTGTATTTCAGATATCAATCCATCCACTTCCGTCGCGTCTTCATAGCATGAGTGATTTAGCAGCTGCGTGCGGAATTTGACTAATAAGTCCAAATGTCGTTCAAAGAGCAGTTGTAATCGATCGGAAGGGAGAGTCATTTTTTTGAATCATCACCTGTGATGAAAATTACCGTATGACTAATGTCCAATGTGGTTCAAGGACACTGAGGACAATCTGGATACTGATTGGTCGAATAATCAAACTGGATTTCGTCCAATTACAGAATGACTTTGGATTGTATCTTTTCTTCACCCCGTCGCCAATTGTTATAACGTGAAAATGATGCTGCTGATTAAGGGTAGGGAATTATTGATCGGACCAAAGACGCACAAACACGTAGAACGACCTAGGGTTCTGATTGGTCTCGCTTCCCTATCTAACCCAGCCAGTTGAGTCCAGAACACAAGTGACAGCTTCGGAGATATGAATCATTGTATTTCAAACATACTTTGTTTATATACCAGTCAAGCAGACCACAACGTCCCATAAAATAGAAAATAACATTGTACAATAATGGCCAGTAGGAAAATAACACGTTAAACAAATATTCACCAATAAGATGATACCATTTCATGTCCAAGGATAACATTAGGCTTAACAGGATAATTCTTGGGATATTTTCCTGAATATCCCAACACCTCCCTTTTTTGGAGATCCGGAGTTGATGTCCGGATTTTAAATTTTTTTCCGCGTCCATCCTCCCCCGCGAAATAATGTTGGGTCTTCATAAACCCAAATTACAATTAATTTGATTGTATTTAAAACATATTGCACAGGGAATCCAGTAAAATCGATCAGATATTGAGGATAAACGCCATCCAATTCGAAGTCATCAGGGTTTAAATCTTTAGTAAGTAGTGGATCATTATGATAATCGGCGTCCAACAAAACTGTGCCAGGTTCTTGGTTATTATTTGATGCGTGGAACACATTTTCTGGCAAAACAATGAGATCTTCTCGTGAGCTGGATATGTTACTGTCTGCACATGCTGTTTCGGGGATGATAGAGTTTGACTCCATTACCGGGCATGTTTCTGGAATAGAAAGTACTGGACCACTGGGCGCATCATGGATGACTGTTTCGTTTGAAGTACAGTTCATCGAGGATTCATGGAGGCTGCTGTCATTTTCCAGCTCACTGTGTATTTCAGATATCAATCCATCCACTTCCGTCGCGTCTTCATAGCATGAGTGATTTAGCAGCTGCGTGCGGAATTTGACTAATAAGTCCAAATGTCGTTCAAAGAGCAGTTGTAATCGATCGGAAGGGAGAGTCATTTTTTTGAATCATCACCTGTGATGAAAATTACCGTATGACTAATGTCCAATGTGGTTCAAGGACACTGAGGACAATCTGGATACTGATTGGTCGAATAATCAAACTGGATTTCGTCCAATTACAGAATGACTTTGGATTGTATCTTTTCTTCACCCCGTCGCCAATTGTTATAACGTGAAAATGATGCTGCTGATTAAGGGTAGGGAATTATTGATCGGACCAAAGACGCACAAACACGTAGAACGACCTAGGGTTCTGATTGGTCTCGCTTCCCTATCTAACCCAGCCAGTTGAGTCCAGAACACAAGTGACAGCTTCGGAGATATGAATCATTGTATTTCAAACATACTTTGTTTATA